CTACTGTACGATATTTTTGGGAAAATTGGTCCGATATATCGAATCGAAGAAGATATTGATATTTTTTAAAATATCGATGTATCGATATATCGATATTTTTTTCAACTTTCGACATCCCTACACCAATTAGCCTAGCCCCAAAGTAAGCACTGTAAGGCTTGTGTTATGCGATGCTAGGGTAACGGATAGAATACATATACTGTACATATTTATATAGCAAAATACATATTAAACATCCACGACTGGAGTACAAATGCTCGTATTCATCACACAAACATCTGCCCCCACCGGGATTCGAACCCGGGACCTCTCGAGTCGGCGACACCATGAAACCCGGCGTACAAACCACTCGGCCACGGAGGTCGTCAAATTGCACGTAATTTGACGTTAACCTGAGTACTTACTAACCGATACCGTACGAACCGTACATACTAAGTATTTTATAAAGTGTTATGTACACAAGACTTTCAATTGAGGAGCTGGCGAACAAAACGATATAGGTAATTACGCATCAGGTCAAACTACAATTGTTTACAGTGCGGAGGTTTCAGGGGCGTTGAATTTGAATTTTAAATAATTTTCAAACAAAGCCTTCTAAAACAGTGTTAAAAATACTAAATTTATAAGTTAAAACCATGCCAAAAGCTCACTGTAGGTATGTCATTCAGTTTTATACAGCTCCTGTATTTTTTTTTGTTTGTAATTATACCTTTTTGTTTACCAGCTCCTCAATTATTATTAAACTAGCAAACCACTGAACCAAATGTTCACCAAAACCTGATTTAAAAAATGTATGTATTATCTATCTCTTATCGATGACCTCCGTGGCCGAGTGGTTTGTACGCCGGGTTTCATGGTGTCGCCGACTCGAGAGGTCTCGGGTTCGAATCCCGGTGGGGCCAGATGTTTGTGTGATGAATACGAGCATTTGTACTCCAGTCATGGATGTTTAATATCTATTTCTATATAAATATACTTATATGTGTACAGTATATGTATTCTATCCGTTACCCTAGCATCCCATAACACAAGCCTTATAGTGCTTACTTTGGGGCTAGGCTAATTGGTGTGAGTGTTGGAAATATTTATTTATTTATTTATTTATCGTTTCCAAGATATAGAAAAAACGTGATTTCTCGAAAACCGGAAGTGCTACGTTACTCAAATCCGGTTTGTAGTCTTATCAGACTATTCTTAACTTATAACTTAAATATTCTCTTTATCTATCTCTTACGGTTTGGCCGCTGAAACAGCACCACAGACAGACAGACGGACGGACTTGTCTAATAGATAAGAGATTATAAACGATAAAAAGTATTTAAAAAATCTCCTTTTCATTATTTCCCCGTCATAAAATAAACGTGGTTTCATATTTTTACACGGCACCACTTAAATTTCCTTCGAAAGAAGTCGCTTCAAAAGTGGTAGTCGATTTCCGGCAGCGATGAAACATATATCATTTGAAAACTTGTTTAAAAATATAAAAGATAAATATTAAATTAATATTAATAATATTTTTAAACATGAACAGATTTTTTTTTATCTCCGATTAATTTTAAATCGTGTTTGAAAATTGGTCAATTCTGTATGCTAGCCACTTTTAATAAAGCCAACTAAGGAACTGTTAAATCTCAAGCAGTGCAGTCACATAAAAAAAATGGTTGCCTGTAAAGTCGGTTTTACGGGCGAAGATTTTACGTGACAACGTCTTTTTCTCGGTAGAATATTTATTGATATGAATATAATTAAATTGCACAATAGGAACAAGGAATTGAATGAAAATAAGAATTGCACAAATTTTAACTATAGAAATATATTTTGTTTACTAAAACATTGTACATGTAAACTTAAACTCATCGTAACGTTACCGAGCGTTACACTTTTTCATAAGTGACTCCCAGCCGCAACCTAATTTAAGACGTTGTCACGTCAATATATTCGTGAAACCGTAGTGATATTATTATATTTTAACCTATTATTTTTGTGACCGATTTTTTAAAAAATTCAATACCCACAAAATACCTAATAACAACGAGAGATGAACGGAATCCTTACCAACTGCTTTAGTAACCTATTGAATAGAATATAAGATGCTTTGGCAACAAACATTACAACGGTTTATAATAAAATTAAGAGCACGGAGCCGGAGACTGACACCCTCTATACAAATTTGAACAGTGTCCTTTAAATTCAACTTACTCACTTAACTTTCAAAATATAACAATAACAATTTGTCTTTAGTCCTTCGAGCTGGATATAGTTACGTGTCCGCATTCATACAGCCTCAAACTAATTTTGATTTTAATAATTCATCCACGCCCTAATAAAAAGTATTTCAAATATTTTTATTTCTTTAATTTCCTTGGGATTAGCGAATTATCTTTCGGTAAGTTTGTAAACTTACTTTGACAAGAGGTATGGTGTAATAAACACGAGAGTTTCACATGTTTGGCTAGTTGTACGTAACGTAACACGCGCCAACTTGTCGACCCGGTACCGGTGTACGGTGTCAAGGCTGCGGTATCCGCGCCGCCGACCGCCGTCTCCGTCGCCAGTTGCAGGCGGACTGCGTGAACTGCGTCTGCCGCCGCCGCGACGCCGTCGGTCGGGGCGAAGGGCTCAGCGCCCGCCTGCGTGCCTTTTCACATGTACACGGACACGGCACGGTTGCCGTGCCGTGTAAAATAGTAATGTATGAGCAACAATGAGAGCTTTCACATTGCACGACGACCGTGCCGTGACCGCGTGTCAGCCGTCCTTATCCACTATATGCACGGTTTTGACGCGGCAACCGTCTTTATAGTCTTGTATGGACTTGTATAGACGCGTTCACATGAACACGGGCGCGGTACGGCACGGTGAGCGCAAATACCATTCGCCAGCTAAAGTCATAGGGGAACGGACGGACGATTGTTGCAGAATGTCTGTCGAAATCGATGTTGATGTGTTGATTTCGCTAGTTGAAGCGCGTCCTACTTTATGGGATAAAACCATCGCGTCTTATAAAAACAGGAACGAGACAAAAGAAGCGTGGAAAGAAGTATGTATAGGATTAAATAGTAGTTTTGAAGAATTAGATGATAATGAAAAGAATCTTTTTTTGTTCCTAATAAAAGACGTCGTCGTTCCTCAAAATTCTCGATAATACTGCAACATCCATAGCCGGCGACCGTGTGTAAGCCGTATACATGTGAAAGAGCTAGCACGGTTGCACGGCATGGCGGCCGTGCCGTGACCGTGTGCATGTGAAAAGGGCCTGCCTGTGTCACCTACGGTGACCAACTTTTTATCAATATAGTATTTTCGAAGCTGTTACCTCTAAAAATATATACACAGTCAGGTCATAAGTATTGTCACACAGTACAAACTTTTCTTTTAAAATTCTGGCCACAAAAAAGTTTATTGAATTCGAATTTCGAATTGTTCATGAAAATAAAAATGTATACTTTTTAGAATTTTACTCATTTTTAAATATGGAGTGGACGCTTAAAGAAGACCGTGTTGCAGTTATTGCGTTGCATCGTTGCGGTTACGCGCCAATTCAAATTTTTGACATACTGAAAAATTTTAATATAACCAAAAGATTCGTTTATCGTACCATCAAACGATACAATGGTGACTCTAGTGTAGATGACAGGTCAAGAAGTGGTCGCCCTCGGTCTGTTAGGACTCCAGCAGTGATAAATCTGTGAAGGCACGAATTCAAAGAAATCCCAAACGTAAGCAGAAACTGTTGGCCCTTCAGATGGGGTTAAGCAGAACCACGGTGAAATCGTTTGAATGCTCGTCTAATGGACCTGAGACTGAAGAGATGCCGCGCTTTGTTGAAGCGGTACGCGGGAAAAAATTATCGGGAAATTCTTTTTTCGGATGAAAAAATTTTTACCGTAGAAGAGAGCTACAACATACAAAATGATAAGGTGTACGCACACAGTAGTGAAGAAGCGAGCAACCGTATTCCGCGTGTCCAACGAGGTCATTTTCCATCCTCGCTCATGGTATGGTTGGGAGTTTCTTATTGAGGCTTAACAGAGGTACATTTTTGTGAGAAAGGTGTAAAAACGAATGCAGTTGTGTATCAAAATACAGTCCTGACGAACCTCGTGGAACCTGTTTCTCATAACATGTTCAATAACAGGCACTGGGTATTCCAACAAGATTCGGCGCCAGCTCATAGAGCGAAGAGCACACAAGACTGGCTGGCAGCGCGTGAAATCGACTTCATACGGCACGAAGACGTCCAGATTTGAGTCCATTAGATTACAAGATATGGCAACACTTGGAGGAAAAGGCGTGCTCAAAGCCTCATCCCAATTTGGAGTCACTCAAGACATCCTTGATTAAGGCAGCCGCCGATATTGACATGGACCTCGTTCGTGCTGCGATAGACGACTGGCCGCGCAGATTGAAGGCCTGTATTCATAATCACGGAGGTCATTTTGAATAAACTTTATTGTCATAAGAATCTATGTTTTGTTAAGTTCATTTTGGTATATAAATGGTTACATAATGAATAAACTTGTTTCAATTATTTTATATTAAACATGTGACAGAATTTATACCCTGACTAGGTAGTTGGCAAAGAAATTGAAAAAATATAGTATGTGGGTGAAATATTTACTTTACTTTTGAAATTTATTATCACCTCAAAATCTAATTCATTCTGTAGTATGCCCCGGCTCCTCAAGATGTCCGTATTTCAACAAATACCTGATGAGAGTTTATGAATGATTTCGAGCACAACTAGCATTTTCTCATAGCTGTGCGTACTGGAGCATTCAATGTATGGGGAACGAGCAATGTCCTTTCCTGTACAGACAGTGAAGTCTGCCGACGGACCACTGAAAGCATTGTAAGTGATGTACTACAACTACAATGCTTCCGGTTGTAAACACAACGGCTAAGCGTCATTGCCAGTAATGAGGCAGCATCGTCGTTTTGGGAAAGAATATGGGAATAAATTATCTATTTAATGTTTTTTAGGGTTAAAAGCAAAAAAGCAGAATCCTTATTACACTCAAAATGGCAGAACCGCTCTCTTAACGTCGGATTTATTAGAACCGATTCTATACTCCGCATTAATATGCGAACTAATAAAAGCAATAAAATGTACAAATATATTTTTTAATACATACCTATATTAGTAACAGATAACATTAGGAGCTCGATGGCGCAAGTGGTTAGAGCGTTCGGCTGCGATCGTTGAATTTAAGCAACTTTCGCGGTGGTCGGTCATTGGATGGGTGACCAAAAATCTTCTATCTCGAGTTCCTCCGTGCTAAGGCACGTTAAGCCGTTGGTCCCGCGTGGTGGGTCATGGCCCAATCTCCCTATTCCATCCATAGGGAAGGCCTGTGCCCCAGCAGTGGGGACATTAATAGGCTGATGATGATGATTAGTAACAGAAACACAGGCTTGTTTCCCACGTACCACGACCACACCACACCATCGCGACAAAAGTTGGTCAAGCTGTGGTTACGTGTGATGTGTCGCTGCGGTTTCTTGCGGTTGCGGTGTGGTACCTACAAAGTATGGATATGGTTGCATTGTCGCTAGTGGTTTTGATGTGGTTACGTAGCGTACATACAGACAGTTGGACTCAACGTTGTGTTTGCGATGTAGCCCGCCGCCGCTAGTTCATCGTGTCGCTGGTGGTTGCTTGTAGTTAAGGCGTGGCTGCGGTGTGGTCGCTATCACACACGCGGTCAATAGTGTCGAAAAATATCGTCCGTGTGAATTCAACTATTAATTTTAATCCAAATTAGCACCCACCCGCGTGTTGGGTTTATGTTGTGGTTGTGGTACGTGTGAAACTATCCTGTTTTGATCAAGTTTTTCGAGAAAGTTATATAACATTGGAATAGTACAGCAATTCCGCCAAGTTAGAGCACACATAGACTGACGGTCAAAGTGAATTTGAGACGTTTTTATTGATAGATTGTTCAAACATGTAGGTGGTGTCGGTGAGCGTCTCTGTGGTGGTGGCGAGCAGAGGGTCGAGGCACAGCAGGTGGTCTCGTAGGTCCGCCCAGCCGCCCGCCGGCGCCGGCCGAGCCCCGCGCCACACGTGACGCACGCGCGACGCACCGCCCGCGCCGCTGCTGAACGACACCACCGCGCGTACTGATCGGGGGAACAGGCTATCTTTCGCCACAATACTAAGAGTCGCTGCCGCCACGCGCCCGCTCGAGAACGTCCTCGTCGACACCACCCGCGGCGCAGTCGTCGCCACCATGTCCGAGTACCCTTTGGGAAACCGCTCGAACAAGTGCACCAGCGAGGAGCTCCAACTCGCATCGTCGTAGAAGCAGAAGTGTGACGCCAATGCCGCGATTTTCAGCCAAGTGGTGCGGTTGAACGTCAAGCCTTTTTCGTAAGGCGGATGCCACGCGTCCACCGTGAGAGTGTCGTGGTCGAGTCCATGGACCCACGCGCGCCCGAACGAGACCACGTACGCGGACGAGAAATACGAGATCGCCTGTCGGGCGTACTTCAACATGTACAACAGATCTGGCAGCACGTAGTCGTTCTCCTCGAGGAACACCACCATACCGCGATGCTTCTCGGACCAGTCGAAGCCGTGGAACACGTAGTGAGCTTTCCACCACCAGTGGTGTTTATGCTCGGCGCGGCGCGCGTCTCGGCCGACGCACGCGACGCTGCCGTTGCAGTCCTCCGAGTCGGCGCCCGGAAACTTGTCAGGATTCAATTGCATCGAGTAAGGGTAGTAGATCTGCATGACTTTAGCGAATCTAATGCTGCGGATCAATCTATTGATTTTGTCGTCGTAGTAGCTATGAGAGAAAATGAGCATAGCTTTTTTGATGTACCTGACTTGACCGAGAGCGACGATAAGATACTGGAGACGCTCCACATCCTTGTGCACTTGAATAAGAAATATGTCGGTGTCGTCGCGATGGGCGCCCCAGCGGTTCCAGTTATAGATTTCAGCGTCCCGATTGAGACGATCTATCCGCGCGGCGAGTTGATCGAGCTGGCGTTGGTTGCGAGCGACGAGAGGAAGCGTGTATCCTTCTTGAAACCGAACCAGATTGCGTAGCTCCCGCGGCACGAGCTGCTCCTCCCTGTGTCCGCACCACACCTTACACAGGACACACACAATCACCAGCGCCAAGATAACTATCAATAATTGGTTCAGCTTTAACGAAAACCATTTAAATATATATTTCAATGTTGTAATCACCCTCTTTAATAATAAAACCATCATACAAGATAATTTTCTGACTACATGCATACTCTACAGGTATTACCATGGTATTATACAATTTTTGACAAACGATGAAATGTAAACATCGTAATCATTGATAAACACAGAGTTTTTATTGTCTATGAACAGAAGTCACATGAGAGTCACAGCATTTTATGCATGGACCGAGAACCACACAGCTGGCCGCTGCATCTGGCCGCGTCTGGCTCGATATGTGGACCGCCCGACCACAGATGTGGACCAAGTAATCATTTCCATGGATGGATGGAATACATGGAAAAAAGATTTTTTTTAAGGTAAAAAGGTGTCGAACAAACACATGGCGCCGCCTGAAGGGTAGTGGCCACCATAGCCTGTAGACCACAGAACACAGACTCGCTTGCGGTACCAAAGCTATCACTCACGTCGTTGTCTACCTGACCCCATTCCCTACCCCGTGGAGCCCTGATACCTTACTCATAGGGATGGGCGTTTTTAGAATAACGATACGCGAAAACGATGCCACGTTCGGATGCGCGCATCCGATGCGACTGGATGCCGTTATTGGATGCCGATGCCATCTAGTTTTTGTCAACGTTACTGTATTAACAGTGCCACAAAATCTGTGCCGGTGAAGATGTCGCTAGCTGTGAACAAATATGTCATAAAAATGTCACAATGCTTTGGATAAATTGTAGTTCCAATTTTTGCCACCGGCACTGAAAACTTTGTGATACTACGATACTGACATTCACTTGGCATCAATGCGATGCCGGCATCGGTGCGCGGATCCGATGCGATTTATCTGATACCGATGCGCATCGTTTTCACAAATATCTAAAAATGACCAGTAAGTAGATTACTCACTGACAGAAAATATAGTACCACTAAGAGGTAGTTTTATTTTACTGTGCTTTTCTGTAAGGTGAAGGTTACTTCCACAGATGTTCGCTCCAATTCGAGAGAAAAACTGCTATGCCCTATGTGTACGTTACTTAAAAAAAATAACTACTTTTAACATGGACATACAGTTTCATTGTTATAGGGTAAGATTCCAGAGCCGCCAGACCTTACTTTTTTTTGGTAGACAAAATATGAACAAACTAATAATAGTACTGTGTACAATCAAAAAATTTTGTGGTAAAATTAATGAATACAAACTCGCTAACTATGGAGCCAATTTTCAAAGCAATATTATGTAAAGCTACTCGCTATAAACAAGGAAAGCCAGGACCCAGGACGGATCACATCGCGGGCGCGGGAACCACCCCACACTTTCGTCGGGAAATTCAATTTGACTAAGTATATCGTTTAAGTACTTTTTGCATTATAGGCTTACGATTTTGTCTCATTCTTTACGAGACTATATAAAGTTAAAATGCGGCCGCGCGGGCGGCGGGATTCAGCCCTCATCTAATGGATAAAGAATACTAATCTTCGGTAGTTAATGGAGTTTAGGGTTGGTCGTAAATTTTACAATTAATAATTAACAAGCTAATTCTATTATCTTTAGGTTTTTGTTTGTTTATAAATGATCACTAGTATTTATAACAAAACACTTCAGACGTTCGTGCTCAACTTCAGGGGAGATTAATTCTCCGAGGTCACTTTGCACTATTATTAAATCTGTGCTCTAGTAAAGGTGTTCATTCGCATCGTTAGAATCATCTCCTGTCAGAATAAGCAGGTGCTAGGTAGCTACCTCCTCTATTGTTCTGCGGAAGCTGCCTACACATACATGTGTACATGTGTACATCGGAGGTGTACCCCGGAGTCACGCGCCACGTATGGCAAATTGCCGACCCTCGTCATCCCGGATTAAAGGGGTCCATGCTACCTACTTGCTTACACATCATTTTAGTTCAAAATCATTAGTATACTATGTCGAGTCATTAATTCACATTTTAATAAGCATACTATATTAAACCTTGGTAGTTGAACATGATATGAAGGACACAAAGAGTTAGTTTACGTACCTACGTATAGGTATATCCTTACTAAAACAGGAGTATCTGCCAGCGAATTCGTCTGCGTGGAAAAAATGGTTTCCCATATAAACTCTCAGCCCCTTTTTACACCCTTAAGGGCGTGCACACCGTTAAGCGGGGCACGGAGCTAGCGTCTGTCGCGGAGATCCGCTATGTGTTCCGTCGCAGGACCCGCGCGAGGCCTGTGCCTCTCGCAGCGCTGCCAGTACAATTTCGATTGCGCGGAAACAGTCGATAATGGATTATTTTTGGTGATAATACTACCTACCTAGTTAAAAGAGAATGCAGACGAAAGCACAGGAGACAGCCATTCGAGCGTGCACCGTCGCCCGCTAGCATGGGACAGGTCTAAAAAAACAAACACGCCAAGCGGACGCCTGCTCTGTGTCCCGCTTAACGGTGCGCACGCTCTAAAGAATGTTTTTTTTTTGAAGTGAAAACTTCTTGTGTGACGAGATTGGAGGAAATGGAAGTAGAGTAATTTATAATTTAATTATAATTATAATATTATTTTTTATTTAATATTATAGGTAATTTTATAACGCTCTGTAAGAGACGAATAGCTGAACGAAATCGGTCTTGGAGTCGACAACAAAAGGTCGGTGACGTGATCCTAAACTCGAACAATGTTTTTTGATATGTAACATCTTTCCTCTCGCTTTCCTGCAATTTGTGGGTGTGATTTCGTAAAATGGCACGAAAGTGTGTAACAGGAAGTCGCAAAAGCGCACGCTATTTGATTTGATTTAGAACAAAATGTTCAAATGGCTTATTCCTTTTTTAGTAGGTTTTTTTTCTTTTTTTACTAATATAAGGTGAGGTTTCAAATGTTACACATCATACGCGACTACTGTAAGGCTCGCTTGTTTTTTTTAAGTAGCGCTATTATTCATTTTTGGAACATATATATATATAAATCAATTGCTGTTCGTTCGTTAGTCTCGCTAAAACTCGAGAAGGGCTGAACGGAAGGGAAAGTTTAAAAGGTGAGAAAAATATTATGTAAAGAAATTCATTGTGTATAATACAAACCTGAGAACAAAAACTATAGTCTACCTACACTACAGTTCCACTAGTTTGGGAATATTTAAGTTAGCCCTGTATTATTACAATACCTAAATAGTTAAGTATTAAACGTATGGTAGAGGAAGGGGCATGACAGGGACCTCAACGTTTGAAGGGCATTAAAATGCTCAATTTAAATTATTTTCAATGATTATTTATTTGGAATTACTCTTACATAATAAATATTTGGGTATGAGGAACTTTTGGCAATTGTTTACTTATGTCAGAAAAAGAAAAAAAAATGTCAAAGACATCGAACACCTAATTTTGACCTAAGGTAGGGTAAGACGGGGAAAAATTTCCTCTATGGGGAAAGATGGGGTATGGGAAGTAATTTTTTTAAGATATATTAATTTTGATTACAATACTTGCAAATAAATACTGCCTCGTCATCCTCGTCATCTATCTCAGTACAGCTACACTGTGCCCAATTCCCACAAAGAAAACACGCCCATCCTTCTTTTGAATCCTCCATCCTTCATGTATCTTCCTCTGCATTAAAGCATAGCTTAGCATTAGGCAGACACCGCACCCGTAGGATAAGAGTGCGTAGACCCGGTCTACACACGACACGCTATACCAGGTACGTCCCTGGGCTTTTTCCCCGTCCCCCACGACAAAGGCTAACTAGAGCCGAGGTCCGAGTCTCAGAGACGCCCTCTAGTTGAGCCGACCCCCTCAGGTTCGAGTGGTCTAGAGGCTCCAGACGAAGAGGAGACTCCCTCCGTAGGGAGACGCCGCCTGGAATACCTCTAGAGGCACTCGCCGATTCTCGACTTAGGGTCTCCATGGGATCTCGCCGTCCCCAAACCCGGTGACGCTGTAAAGGTCATCTGCGACCAACAGCATACACACTCAAAAAAATAAATGCTCTCTCTCTCTATTTAAAATTGGAACAGGTGTTTGATTTCTTTTAGTTAGTTCCACCTCCTTTTTGGGACAATAAACAACTAAAATAAAATAAAAATCATATTATAGGGCTCCCGAGCCCGAGAATCACTTCTGTGGTACGTGATTTTTTGCCGTTTTTGCTCGATATTATAATATAATGTCTAATTCTAAATAAAATTTTCGGTTAAACTGTACTTCCAGGGCCCAAATGGTGATACTTCACACTAGATGTTGTAACCATAACGCGCGAGCCGAGCGAGTGAAGCGAGCTTGCCGCAGCAGTGGCCGGCGAAGCGCCAGATTTTTTTTAATAGACCTTTTCTACATAATAAAATTAAAGTATCGTCTCTTGGGCGCTGGAAGTACAATTTTACCAAATTATCTTAAGATTTTAAACATGTAATTGTTAAATGCTTTAAGAATAAAATTATAGTGTCTAATGTTATTGTATAGATAAATAATGGCATTGAAATGAGGGAGCATGTATTGAGTATTTTTTCATTTAAATTAAGAGGTACTTATATTATAATTGTAGTATGCCATAGTAAATTGTTACTTTAATAATAATTAAAACTATAAAAATATTAGCTTTACTACAAAAATAGAATATTTAATGTGATGAGTTTAATGTCTGCCTACAAAACATCTTAATACTCTATTGGACTTCAAATAACGCCATCTATGTTCAGGTTCAAACAAAATAGAACAAAATCACAAGTATTTGGCAGTTGACAACGTTGAGTTGACAGCACTGCAGCGACAAAAAAGTATAGCACAGATGACATGCGGGACATGCCTAGTATCTCCTTAGTAGTCTGTGCTTATTCTAAAGCCAGAAATATATTAACGTGTCGTGGCGTGTCGTGACGCATCGATTTCATACATTTATTATGGGTTAGAGAGAGGTTAGAGCATCAACATGACATGACACGTAAATTTATTTAGCCATAGTAAATGTATGGAACCAATGTGCTTCTCGCGCGCTATGACACGACACGACACATTAATATGTTTCTGGCTTAAGATACTGGTGTCGATTCTGGCACAATTCTCTAAATCTAAACTTTAATTTGACAACAGTGGTGTCGATTCTGGCGTGATTCTCTAAACTTAAAACTAAAT